TGCATTCATTCCAAAAATCAGACTTTTTAAAACGCCGCAGGCCGAGGGACAAATTGTTAAAAATCAGGACTGTCCCACCAAAAGCGGGACGTCTGGTCACCTTAGGCTCACGGCCTCTTCCTCCATCTCCAAAGCCAGCAGTGTAGCATCCTGCTTCAGCACTCACATCGCCCCCGTCTGTCTAAACCTCTCTCTCCACCTCCGTTTTACAAGAACGCTAGTGATTACATTTAGAGCCTGCTGGGGTAATCTCACTATCTCATGGTCCTTAATCACATTTGTAATGTCCCTTTTGCCATAGTAAGTACATTCACAGTTTGGGGGATTAGGACCTAGATAGCCTAGGGGGCCGTTTATTATTATTAAATAATAGCTGTGTACATTAATGCAATCATGGAGTACTATGTGCTGGTTTTACATACAATTTGAAATATTTTCACCAAACTTGTTAATACAGCCTTCACGGCATTTTCTTAGTTATTGTGTTAAGACATTTATATTCTACACCTAGTAAATTTCACATGTACCCTTGTAAGATGCACTGTAGGTATGGTCCCACCAATTACTGTCCCTCCACTGATCCCCCCATCTCCCCTCCCTAAAAACATCATTTTTTTCTTTTTCTTTTCTTTTCTTTCTTTCTTTTTTCTTTTTTTTTTTTTTTTGCAGTTTTTGGCCAGTGCCAGGTTCAAACCCGTCACCTCTGGTATATGGGGCCAGCACCCTACTCCTTTGAACCACAAGCACTGCCCCGAGGGGACCGTTATTGAACCTACCACACTCCTCTTATGATCAACTCATTCCCAGAGTAACTTAAATTTTCAGACCACAAAGTTTTTTTAACCTGAACGACAAGAAACAAACAAAAAAAGCTTTTTCTAAGTGTTTTTCATTTGATTTTCACAACAATCCTTCGAGGTAGGCAGGATTTGTGTTCCCTAGAAGCAAGCCCCAAGGCAGGGAGCTAAGTGCATATATTTCACTTGGAGGTTATCCTACAAAGCACAGGCTGGGAATGGAGAAGTGGACTAGAATGGGAAGGACACCAATTCAGGGTGTGAAGTCATCCAGTATTCCCTGGGAAACGGGAGCTCAAATCCCCTGCAGATTATGAGAAATCACATACAGGCCTCAGTTACCCCAACCAAAGCTGAAGAAGTTGGGATCTTATTCACAACTCCCTGTCCCCTCTTGACTGAGGGCAGCGTCATAGCCCTTAACTCTTCTGCATTTCTACCTTTTCTTGTCTTTGTGGCCAGGGTTCTCCCTCAGCCAGCAAGAGCTCAGAGTTACCATTGTTTTCAACAAGGAGCCTAATTTGGGAGGTGAACGCCAAGGGGGTTGAGCAGGGTACCAAGAGTGTCTGCTAGGAACTCCATTTACCAATGAGACTCATTTATTCTCTCACCAAATGCTTACTGAGTGCTCACTCCAGGCCAGAAAGACAGTGTGCCAGGCGCTGGAACTCACACACAGACAAAGCCTCCATGTACATGAGAAACTCACAGTGTGGACAGACATGTAAAGAGATGAACTGTCATACACTGTGATAAGTGCTATGCCAGAACTATAAACATTTGTACCTGGCCATTAAAAGGTAAGCAATAAAAATTGGTTTTTAAAAATGAGGCATCACAAAACACACTTCTCCCCTCTGTTTGGAGGAGTCAAAGGGAGAGGCAAAGGCCCCTCTCCATTATTAGAGTAAGGCACTTAAATGAAACAGTAAAATACCAAGTGATGGGCCAAGGTCACCTGGCCTGTCAATATCAGAGCTAGGACAAGAATACACATTTTCTGACCATTGGTTGGTCTCTAGGTGATGAGCCTAGCACCAATCATAATGCCCAGCTCATGGTAGGTACCCATGAAGTGGAAACAGAGCATTTGTTTGACCAAGTGACAGGTGTAAAGGATGGCACCCAGCTATGAGCCACAATGGAGATGTTCAGAAGACAGGGAGGGTGACCTGCCTGAGCAGTGCAAAGGTGGCATCTGCACAGGGTTGGGGGGGGCACTTAGAGACCCCTTTTATATGGGGCCATAGGGAGTGGGCAAAATCCACAGCTTGCCTGGAAAGTTAGGGAGGGAACTTCTCAGAGGGTGGGCTAGCCAGATCCTTTGTCTTTGTCTTAGGAGGAGAGGAGAAGGGAGAGGGGAAAGGGTTTGTGTGTGGCTGCGTTAGGCCCCCCAACAGAAAGTACAACCTGGTACACATTTACAGTGACTCCCCATTCCCATCCCTACACACTTGGTACTGTGTTCTGCACAATTTATGGAACTCTCATGACTATATAAGATCCCTAGGCCTGCACAACCATTACTCTGTCTCTGTAGATTTGCCTTTTCTGAACATTTTGCACAAATGGAATCACATAATATGTGTTCTTTTGTGTCTGGCTTCTGCCACTGAGTGTAATGTTTTGGAGGTTCATCAACGTCATAGCATGTACTAATATTTTGTTAATCTTTATTTCCAAATAGTATTCCATTGTAGGGTTATACCACACTTTGCTTATGTATTAATCATTGATAGACATTTGGGTTTTTTCAACTTTTTGACTATTCTGAATAACACTGTTATGAACATCTATGTACAAGTTTTGAAGTAAATATCTGTTTTCATTTCTTTTGGGTAGATACCTAGGAGCAGAATTTCGGGGTCATGGTAACTCTATGTATAATTTTGTGAGAAGCTGCTAAACTGCTCACAAAAATAGATACCTCCCTTCATTCTATACTTTTTTATCCTAAATTATTTTACAATAAATTATAGACCTTAAGATATGCCACTTAACAAAAAGAAAAAAGGCATTATCTCATCTAACAAATTATCAATAATTCTTATTATCCCTAATTCACATTTCCACTATGGTCCCTCAAAGATATGAATATCTGAGTCACTAAAAAGTAACATCTTCCTTTAAAAATCAGTGAAGTGGCTTTAGATTTATACAGTAGGCTCCTGTGAGGTTTTTTTTTGTATTTTTTTAATTTGAAATTTATTGCTTTTTTTTTTTTATTGAATGGTAACTATGTACATTAATGCACTTCTGGGGTACAGTGTGGAATTTTCACACACAATCCAAAACACTTCCATCAAACTGGTTAACATAGCCTTCGTGTCATTTTCTTAGTTATTATTTTAAAATGTTCACATTCTGCTCTTAGAAAGATTCACTTGTACCCTTGTAAGATAAACCTCAGAAGTGATAGCTCCTGTGAGTTTTGTTAGTGTGGCTGAGCGTCTGAATGAATCGACTGGCTGTTGCCTGAGTCTTGGGCAGGCTGGCTTTAAATGACGAGCTGGACTATCAGATTCATCTCCTGTAAATTTGGAGTGGAGATGCTGCGGGAGCCAAGGAGGATAGCAAGGTAAACTTGGGGAATGAGGCCACCATATCAGGCCATGAGCAAGAAGCAGCAGCAGCAGCCAAGGGAGAATGGGAAGAAAGTCAGCAGATGTGCTGAAAGAAGTTGGGATGAGAACACTTGAGAGGATGGGAGTAACTCCCGTCCCTGGGGGTTCTCCATTTCCCAGTCATAGCTTTAGAGAGAAAGAACATTGTTCCTATTCCTGGTTTCCACGGTGAGCAATTTTTCCGAATACCATCCTGGCCTCTCCACTCTGGAGAGGTGAGTTATCTAACTTGTAAATTTGGGAAGAATAACTGGCTATGCAGGGCTTGTTCCTGCTCCTGGAAGGGAGTTGCCTACAGGGAACCTGAATCCAGCTTATGTGGAAGGCATGTGCTGCCCCTTATGTGGAAGGCATGTGCTGCTGCCCCTCCAGGTGGGGTCCACCAGGTCCAGCATAAGACCAGGTCTAGGGTAAGTCAACTGACTCCCAAAGTTGGAATTAGCAAGTATGCTCAGCCAACAGACTGAAAGTCATGTCCTCCAGCCTGGTCTCCATCAGTAATAAAGGCTGTATATTGGCCTCAACTGGCCGTTCCTTATCTAGATTTACCTTAAATGGATTTTTCTTCCTTAAAATTAAAGCCTCTTGGGTAGCAAAAGGCATTTCTCTGCAAGAGATTTCCAAAAGATAAACTGCCTACTGGCTGTTTAAGCTTGTATTATATTACTAATTGGGAAGCAGTGATGCAGGTGGGCAGAGGGAGCCTTAGTCTATGTTAGTATTTACATTAATTTTTATTGAAGGAAAAAATAGAAAAATGAGCACATTTGAATGAATTTTCACAAGTAGAACCTGCTCATTTAACAGCAGCCAGATCAGAAAGGAAGACATTTTAGCAGTCCAGAAACCTGCTGTGCTCCTTTTCAGTCATACATATTCAGTCAGACAAGCTCTTGGTTTCATCCCACAGCGGGATATTCTTTCACTGTGCATGATTTTGTAAAACTCAAAGGATCACCTTAATTCCAAAGTTTTGGGGACATCATCACCATCAGGCCCATATAACACATAGAGCAATACTATAGTGCAGCATTATAAGAGACTTTTAGCAAATCTGGGTAAATTACATGTATTTCTTCATCAATTAGATCTCATCCACTTTCTATCTTTCAGAGATTTCTCAATATTTCTGCTCTGCTGATGACTTTCTTTCTGCATTCCAGGGCTATGGTGTCATTAATCTTAAAATACACATTCACACAAATCTCTACTCCCATTCCCCAATTTTGGTAGCCCAAGGAAGGGAAGGCATATGTGTGGAGTCTGCTATCTTGATCCAATCTGAAACTTCATTTTTCATGACTATATAATATCTCAGTGTACTGATGTAACATAATTCATACAAGTAATTCATTTTTCCATATTAAAATTAATGTTGTAATCAATAACCTCATGTACAAATCTTGGCATATGGTTCTAATTGTTTCTGAAGAAACCCTCTTAATGCCTATTGAATAAGAAAAAGAATTGGTGGCTTCTGTGCTTTCATAAACATATATATTATTCAAAGGTCAAATATGTCATTGCACCAATATGTTTAATACAAGAGATAAGAAACCAGATCAGGAGCTGAGCTACCGAGGCCGCGAGCAAGATGCCAGTGGCTGTGGGTCCCTACGGACAATCTCAGCCAAGCTGCTTCAATCGTGTGAAGATGGGCTTTGTGATGGGTTGTGCCATAGGCATGGTGGCCGGGGCACTCGTAGGGACCTTTTCCTGTCTCAGGTGAGGGAGTCGGGTGGTGATCTCTGGGCGGGACTACTGGACCTTCCCACCCACACCCCAGTCTGCCGGGACCCTGAACTGAGCCGAGTTTTTCCACTTCCCTGCCTGTCCTTTAGTGAGAGAGACCCATTTCCTAACTACCTTCAGTCCGCAAGGGCAGGTTGGAAGCGTCATAGCTTAATCTGAGTTTAAAAGTGCTTTCAGGCTCTTTACCTACTTGTCCTGTGACTTTAGGCAAGTTAAATACTGAGTTTCCTTAGGTGTAGTATGAAGACAGTTAACACCTACCTTATAGAACTGTAATCAGCAGACTTTGCACACTATGTGGCACATACTAAATGCTCAGTAACTTTGTAATACTGCTGTTATTTTTTGTTGTTGTTGCAATTTTGCCGGGGGGTGGGTTCGAACCCGCTACCCTCTGTATATGGGGCTGGCGCCCTACCCACTGAGCCACAGGCGCCGCCCACAATTGGGGACAACAAAACAAATTTGTTGAGCCGTTTATTATCCTGGGAAACAGGATGCAGAGATAATTCAGATAAGCGTTACACTCTGAAGGTCATTTCACATTTTCACATGTTTTGTTTTGTTTTTTGGGTTTTGTATTTTTTTTTTTTTTGAGACACAGTCTCACCTTGTTGCCTTGGTAGAGTGCTGTCGCATCATAGCTCACAGCAACCACAAACTCTTGGGCTCAAGTGATTCTCTTGCCTCAGCCTCCCTAGGAGCTGGGACAATAGGCGCCCACCACAATGCCTGGCTATTTTTAGAGATGCGGTCTCTCTTGCTCAGGCTGTTCTCAAACTCCAGAGACCAGACTCAGGTGATGCACTTGCCTCCACCTCCCAGGGCACTGGGATTACAGGTGTGAGCCACCTGTATCCGGCCTAAAAGCTGTTACTTTCATTCTCCCAAACTGTTAACAATTTACTGAGAACTTTACATTAACCACTGTGCTAAATACTGTACTGGTGTAAAAAAAAAAATCTTGTAGACAATCTTGAGATGTCCATCTTACATTTGACACAGACTGTAAATTGCAGGAATGGGTCTTGAACCCAGGCCTGACTCCAAACTCATTTAACACCCGAAAACCAGCAAGATAACTGTCTCTGTTGAAACATACATACCTTAGAGGCAAAACCAGCCCTAAAGTTGGTTTCCCTGCCCATGTACTTTACTTTACATCTGTTGCTTCCCACAAACTGCAAATTGATATTTGTATCATAAGAAAAAATGATCTAGATAACTGTTGGGTCCTTTTCCTTGTCATTACCCAACTAAGGTGGGACAAGATAATATCTAGACAAGTAATAGATTCAGAGTGCCAGTGCTTTGCTCATCATTAGGAGATTGAATGGGGCAGTTAACACTCTTCCCTGTGTTTTTGTTCCCAAACGGCCCCATCTTGGTTTCTTCCTCAGGATGGGAATGCAAGGTCAGGAGCTGATGGGCGGCATTGGGAAAACCATGATGCAGAGTGGTGGAACCTTTGGCACATTCATGGCCATTGGGATGGGCATCCGATGGCAGTGGCTGCTCACTACATCTTCTCATCAATCCCAGCCCATATGATATAATAAAACAAATTCTTTGAGTTAAAAAAAGAAAAGAAAAGAAAATCAGATCATGGGAACATATTGGTCAAAGGGCATAAAATTTCAGTTAGACAGGAAGGATAAGTTCAAGAGATCTACAAGACATTCGTATCTATAGGTGACTGCAGTTCACCTACAATAACAATATATTGCAGACTTGAAAGATACAATGCATTAATAAGAGAGTAGATTTTAAGTGCTCTCATTGCAAAATGAAGTATGTGAGGTAATACATATGTTATATAACTTGACTTAGCCATTCCACAATATCAAAACATCATGTTGTATGCCATCAATATATACAATTTTTATCAATTAAAAAATAAATTTCAAAGAACAGATCAGTCTTTTGGGGAATCAAACCTCATCAAAATTCTCTGTTTCAGGCAGTGCCTGTGGCTCAAAGGAGTAGGGCACTGACCCCATATGCCAGAGGAGGCGGATTCAAACCCAGCCCCAGCCAAAAAATGCAAAAAAAAAAAAAGAAAAAGAAAATTGTCTGTTTCCAATGTTTCATGATTCATATCAGTCTATTTTCTTACCCTTTCTTTTTTTCCTGTCCCAAAGATCTTGTATAGAATCAAAAGAGAGACAACGTGGAGAAAAATCTAAGCTATGGAATAAGCTCAGTCCTGGAGAGCAAATGGATATTTAGTCAAAACCACTCAGATATCTAAAAAGTTTTCATCTTTCAAGCCACTAATCTAACAATTTTAACTCACTTTATTTTTAACTTAATAAGACATTTATGAAATCATCGTATTGTATTCTGCACAATCTATGGAACGCTAATGAGCTGCAAGAGATTTTGAAACTCTGTTAACTCAGCACTGGAAAAAACAATTAAAGCTACCTTACATCTCTGGAAGCCCAAGTGAAATTAGAAACATTAGGGATATAAATACAGCCTTTAGCAGAGATCTTAGTCACTTCCCATGAGGTGGATAAGATGAAAGGAGATGCGGAGGCAGGAACACAACCAGGTACATAGGACGCTCTCAATGAATACATTTTAAATAAAACAATAGCCAGAAAGGAAAAAATCAAGACTCTAAGTACATCAAAGCAGTCATGTTTAAATCAACTGGGGAAAGTAGTATATTTACTATTTCCTGAAGAAATGTCAAAAGTGATTAGCATCAACTTGGGCGGAACCTCAAGGTCCAACCCCAATTCAACATGAAAATTTATTTGCTTTCTTCCAAATTTTATCTTTTCTTGATTCATTCCCTCCGTGAGGAAGTGCTAGAATGATGAATGAGGCAGGAGAAACTTAGGGAAAATGCAAAGTTGGGAAAAATTGGATTTATTCCTTCAGTCTTTCAAGTGTTTATAAATCATTCATTCAACTACCATATACTGAGCACTTGGTATATATGAGTGACCATCCTTTAACTTAATAAAACCTCTTCTCATAAAATAATAGTAAAAAATTTAAAAATTCATCAATACATAAAGAAAATAATTACAATTATTAATGTCCCACCACCTAGATACAATCATAGCTAATATTTGAAGAATGTTTCCTTTCAGTCTTTTTTAATTAGATTCTTTAGTAATTAGGATTCTATTATACACAGATTTTTTTATTCTTAGGCTTTTCATTTCATATCATTTTTATAGATAATGAAAACATTTTAAATATGATTTCATGGCTCCATTTTATTCCCTCAACTGAAAATGCGATATTCCCCTCAATGCATGCACTACAGTATATGTAATCTTTCCTCTCTTGTTGGACATTGAAGGTTTTTTAGCATTTTGCTATTATGGAATGGCAAATTATTGCTTTTAACATAAATTTTTTTGTGCCATTGATTACTGCCATAGGAAATATCACCAGAATCATAATGCCTGGACCAAGAAGGTCATGATAAGCTCTACAGCTCAGCACTATCCAGTAGAACCTTCTGCGGTGATGAAATGTCTTATATCTGCACTGTCCAATATGGTAGCCAATAGCCAAATGTGACTACTATCACCTAAAATGTGGATAGCACAACTGAAAAACTGAATTTTTAATTTTATTTGATATTAATTAACTTAAAGTCTCATGAGGCTAATGGTAACAGTATTGGACAATACAGCACAAGCTAGTGTGAAGTCTTATTTGACTTGTGGAGACTTCAGTAAAATGATCTCACATCTGGTTCCATAGCCTAGAGTCAAAGAATGTACTCAGTCTGAAGAAGATAATGATGATTTTGTTTATGCCTCTTGAACTGTGTCTTGTTGCCATGCTGTGTGGTCTCAGCAGACATGAAGCAAGCTATGAGCAAGACTGGATCAGCTTTATGAAAATAAGCCTTATGTATGTATAGTGAATCTGGAAAGAGGCTATTCTGTTTCCAGATGGTTGGATGTGACCTTCCCTCACTCAGACATTTTGATCTCACATTGTGTGTGTATTGGTGAGGCCGGGGGACTTCTCTCTACATCTTGCCATAAAATGCTAATTAATTTACCTGCACAATGCCTGGGTTGGGAATACACACCCATTGTTGATATTTTCCAATATAATGATCACTCAAAACATATGAACTTTCTAAGTTTCTTAATTTTTTCCAGTCAAAAGGTAGTACTGACACCTTCCCACTATTAATATCTGTAAGTGTTCACCTTAGTGCAACATTTTCAAGCACTAGTATTATTTTTTACATTCACAAATTTCATGGATATAAATGTTATATCATTGCCATCTAAATTTGCATTTCTTACCTTTCCCTGTGCAAAATGTTATTACGGCTCTTTTAATAAGTTTTCTCTTGACCCCACACCTCCACTTCCTATTATCATCTCGTTTCTCTGCTCCTCTTAACAGCAAAACTCTTTGAGATATCTCTGCTCTCTCCCTCCAATTTCTCTTTTCCCTTTCTCTCTTGAACTCATTTCAAGCAAGCTTTTAGAAGCTCCACACACAACACGAGAAGAGCTTTTGTCAAGGTGTCCAATGCCTCCATGTTGCTGAATCCGGTGGTTATTTTTAGTCCTTATCACATTTGACCTACCAGCAGAATTGATACAATCACCCCTCCCTTCTTGAAATACTTTCTTCCTTTGGCTTCTTGGACATCTTTTCATTTGTTCACCTCAGTGGTCATTTTTTCAAAAAACTAACTGCTTGTTTCATTAATTTTCTGAATGATTTTTTGTTTTCAATTTCATTGATCTCTAATTTAATTTTGGATATTTCTTTTCTTCTGCTGGGTTTAGGCTTAGATTGTTCTTCTTTTTCCAATTCCATAAGATGACCTGTGAGTTTGTTGATGCACTCTCTTCCTATATTTCTTTTTTTTTTTTTTTTTGAGACGGAGCCTCAAGCTATCCCCCTGGGTAGAGTGCCATGGCATCATGCTCACAGCAACCTCCAACTCCTGGGCTCAAGCGAGTCTCCTGCCTCAGCCTCCCAAGTAGCTGGGACTACAGGCGCCCGCCACAATGCCTGGCCATTTTTTGGTTGCTGCCATCATTGTTGTTTGGTGGTCCGGGCTGGGGGTTTGACCCTGCCACCTTAGGTGTATGTGGCTGGTGCCTTAGCCGCTTGAGCCACAGGCGCCGAGCCCCTATATTTCAAATGTAGGCATCTAAAGTGATAAATTTTCCTCTCAAAACTGCTTTTGCAGTATCCTACAGGTTTTGGTAGCTTGTGTCTTCATTGTTGTTGTGCTCAAGGAATTTAATGATTTCCTCTTTTATTTCTTCCTGCACCCAACTGTCATTCAACAGAAGGTTGTTTAATTTCCATGCCTTTGTATGGGGTTGAACGTATTTGTTGGAGTTGAGTTCCACCTTTAGTGCCTTGTGGTCTGAAAAGATACAAGGTAAAATTTCAATTCTTTTGATTCTGTTGAGGTTTGTTTTGTGTCCTAGGATATGATCAATTTTGGAGAATGTTCCATGGGGCAATGAGAAGAATGTATATTCTTTCTCTTTGGGATGGAGTGTACTATATACATCTATCAAGCACAGTTGTTCTGGAAGAGGAGTGTTAAAGTTCCCTGTTATTATGATATTGTAGGATATCATATTGCTCAAACTGAGTAAGGTCTGTTTCAAGAATCTGGGAGCATTTAAATTGGGTGCATAAATATTTAGAATTGAAATATCTTCTTGTTATATTTTTCCCTTGACCAATATAAAGTGACCATCTTTGCCTTTTTTGACTTTAGTTGCTTTAAATCCTTATGTATCTGAAAATAAGATTGCAACTCCTCTTTTCTTCTGAATTCCATTTATCTGAAAAATTGTCTTCCATCCCTTAACTCAGAGTTTTAATTTGTCTTTTGAAGCTAGGTATGTTTCCTGCAGACTGCAAATGGATGGCTTGTGATTTATAATCCAGTCAGCTAATCTATGTCTCTTCAGTGGGGAATTCAAGCCATTGACATTTATTGAGATAATTGATAAGTGTGGTAGTGTTCTATTCATCTTATTTTTGAAAGTCCATTGCTTAGTTTTATCTTTTGCATCAGTGTGGAAGTTAGGGTCTGTCCTTTAATTTTTGAATTCTTACTTTGCTGTTGATCCATTGTGATGGTCAATGTGTAGAACTGGTTGAAATATTTCCTGTAGAACTGGTCTTGTTGTGGCAAATTTCCTCACTGTTAGTATTTCAGTAAATGATTTGATTTCTCCATCACGTTTAAAGCTTAGCTTAGCAGGATATAGAATTCTGGGCTGGAAATTGTCCTGTGTAAGTAGATTAAAGGTAGATGATCATTGTCTTCTGGCTTGGAAAGTTTCATTAGAGAAGTCTGCGGTCACCCTGATGGATTTGCCCCTGTAGGTCAACTGGTGCTTACTCCTGGCAGTTTGCAGAATCTATTCTTTTGTCTTTACTTTGGACAGGTCATCACAATGTGTCTTGGAGAAGCTCAGTTAGTTGAGGTGACCTGGTTTCGATATCTCTCTGAAAGGAATGTGTCAGAATCTTTGGTGATATTTGGGAAATTTTCATTTATAATATTCTCTAGTATGGCTTCCATTGCCCTGGGGCATTCT